AAAAAAAAAAAAAATAAAATTAATAAAATGTTAAATAAAAAAAAAAAAAAAAAAAAAAAAAAAAAAAAAAAAAAAAAAAAATGTATTTCGAAATAAAGTTTGTCAAAGAATTTCTTTTCTAATACTTAATACTATCAAATTTCTTTTTTTTTTTGTTTTTGACCAAAAGGTTTCGTTAGCCTATTCTTAGCTAATGAATTGGCTGAATTTGAAATCAATTTCCGCATCATCGATAAGCTTGAAAAGCACCCAAATTTTTCAAAGGCTCTCTTAATAACGACGAGAACTATGGAAATTTTTGATAATTCGGAATTTTTAAGATTAGGGTTGGGGTTTTTAGTATAATTATTCCGTTCTAATCTAAGTGGGTTCCGAACCCTATTATCGTTCCATTCCCACTTACAACATATATATATGAAATTCTTGCTTTTCGATGAAACGAATTATACCAATGACTTAACGTACTACTTGAATTTTCGTGTAAGGAGTTTATTTAATATATAAATAAAAATATAAATTTATATTTGAACTTTATAACAGTTCTTAGCAAACATGTAAAAATATTTATGAACATAAATTATTGAGTTTCTATTTGAGAACATTTAAATTTTTTTTTCTTTAAATAATGACACCATAATTGTTAGAAATATTTGTTAGAGATAGTTATTTTGAGAAATAATTGTTAGAGATAATAACTATTAGAGATGGTAGTTTTAAAAAAATACCAATTTGCTAACGCTCTTGATCATTCCTATTTATTTATTCCGGTTTTCAGATTTGTGTATCTTTAATTTACATTTATAATATCGCGTTTAATTTGCTTTTATGATTATGTTAATGTGAAGTGCTTACAAAAATCATTATATAAAATATAGGACTTGCCTATTAAATTCGTATACATCTCAATCAAATTCGTAATGTTATGAGATGATTCGAATGATTAACTATCACATTTTCATCTAAAATACATGCCCCTCGATATTCAAACCAGGTAATCCTACATGCTGCACAATGAGTTTTCTGAGTTCTTCAATACTTGCGCCTACCAATTGTGAAACTTGTTGACCATTATTGAAAAACTTGAATGTCGGCTTAAATTTTACATGAAATATCCATTCATTTTTTTTTGTCAGCATCTTTTTTATTTAGATACTTAATGATTTCTTAATAAATTAATTATTTTGCATTGATCTGACTTGAGCTGAGGCGCGATCATATGGCATGATTGGCATCACATTGCATGGAAATCTACCACAAGTTCGAAAAGTCTAAAAAAAAAAAATTTAAAATGATATAAGAATGATTAATTCAAATATATACAAAGGAATTCACAAAATAATTAAAAAAAATTACAGCATACAACTTCAAAGACATTTTCATCACCAATGATTAAAGGTGTTGGTTGTCTAAATAACCGTTGATGTAAGTAATTAAGTAATATATATCTAAATTCTAAATATATTTGCTGTTAAAGAAAACAAAATACAGAGAACTCTCGTTATCAAGCTAGTTGGATTGCTTTTCTATTCATGTTGATAGTGATATTAGCCAAGAATCATATTGAAAATTGATATATATGAGGGAGTTCTAATATAATTTTATTATATAGAATTCATTTTATAGCTTAGGTTGAAATTAACGGGGGGCTCTGTATTTATATATTCTTAAATACCTGAGCCTATAAGATTTGAAGAATGTATAAGTATTAAAAAAGTAACTACCGAAATAAGGAGACTCAATAAAATAAACCGTCAATACCTACATCGACTTCTAGTATCTTGGCACACGATAGTCGCCTAAAACTAAATGTCAGATTTTTTGATTACAATTAATAATTTTCTATGTTGAAGATAGTATTATAATCGATATATTTTGGTACCTGAGCTTGAAACCGTAGTATTATTATTCTAAAGTCTGTAATTAAGATCCTATTGTCATTTATTAAAATATTTTATTTCGAAATAATAAATGTAGATATACCCAACGTTATAATTAAAAAAAAATCAATTGAACAAAATAATATGGAAATTTCTAGAGATAAAAATAGTAATTAGTTAAAAAAGAAACTCTAAAAGATACAGGTTACCCCGTTAATATCAACCTCTTATTATGAAAAAAATAAGCTTAGGCTATATAAAAACTATCCTACTGTTATCAACCCTCGCACATATCAACATAATCGCCTAATTCAAATAGGTTGATATCAACGGGGTAACCTGTACTAAATTAATTTAATATAAAATCCATTAAATTTTGTCTTTTTATTTTTCCCGCCTCTTTAATTGCTTGGTACCTTCGTGAATTATCATTGTCATCATACTGTATCCGATACATTACAACTCGTTCTGAAGATTCTTCCCATTCGTCACCGTTTCTTTCTAATAAATTATGCAAAATCAAAGATGTTTCTATTAATTCAGTAGCTATTTTAGTATTTTTTGTTCGTAATTCTGTTAATAATTGAAATCTTTTTTTCAAACGGCCAAAAGCCTGCTCAATTACAACACGAGACTTACTATGCTTTTTATTAAAAGCAGTTTGTCTCAAATCTGAAGGATTTTTAAACGAAGGAATAATATTTAAAGAAATTGGGTAGGCAGAATCTGCCAATACATAATCATTTTCTTCGAATAGTTGATTTCTATAACGGTATAAACTAGAATTCCAAAATACCTTCGCATCATGAACAGATGCTGGATATCCTACGTCATAGTTTATAAAAAGCCCTTGGTGATCTACGACAGCTTGAAGATGAATAGCATACCGTCGTTTTCTTGTAAAGTAAACGTCTTTATTAGGTTTGCTTGGTGCTTCAAATAAATTCATGTGAGATCCGTCTAATGCGCCAATTACATTTGGAAAACCATGTAGATCTTCAAAACCCTGATGAACTTTTTGCCGATAATCTCCACGTGGCCAGATTATAACATCTTTTTTTAACGATTTAAGAGCTTCAACGACTCTGGATGTAAATAAAGGAACTGTACCTTCAGCTATCCCAAATTTAGAACAAATGTCCCATATTGTCGCTTTACAGCCTAATCTATATAAAGTTACGGCAAGTTGTTTTTCTACAGGATTTTGTTTATTATTTGGAATATCTTTAAAAATTTCATGATTTTTTATTTTATTAACGATCATCCAAAAGGATAATTTATTCATTCGTAAAGTTCTACGAAATCTAACATTATTAACATTATCGTAATTAAATAAGATAGTCGAATACCAGTGATCTGACTTTGGATGAATATTTATAGATAGAGATGGACGGTTTAAACGATAATGAATAATAGACGCAATGAGTTCATCACCATAACATGGATCGAGTTCATCATCGTTAAAATCTGATTCAATTAAATCTAATGCTTCATTAAACGATTGAAATTGAAATGAATCCATATTATTAATGAATAAAGAAGTAAAAAAATTTAAATAGTGTCAAAATTAAGTTTTGCGAGAGAGTTGGAGTTAAAGGTTTTGGTTTAGATAATAATTATGTTTTAAATTTGACAACTCTTTGAATTCGGTTCTATTTATTATAACACTTTTAATTATTTAATTAATATGCAACAATTTTATTCTAACAATATTTATCTGCACGATCTTACAGGTAATAATTATTTGATTCTTTGTTAAAATATATATTAAATTAAGGGGAATTTACACATAAGGAACTGAAAAATGAAAATAATTGCAAATAAGGACCCGAAGTGAAAATAATTGCAAATAAGGACCCGAAGTGAAAATAATTGCAAATAAGAACCCGAAGTGAAAATAATTGCAAATAAGGACCCGAAGTGAAAATAATTAGTATAAAGACCAAGTTTTGACAATTAAAGAACCAAAATAACTCTGCGCTATGACGATAATGGTTTTTTTACATTATCACTAAATATATATAATATTTTATACATTTATACTATATCCTTTTGTTTAATGAACCGAGATATAGTTCGTCCGGGTTATAATTGTAAAGCATTATGAAACCGAAGTTAAGGTTATTTACAGTAGAATCACAAAAATACTATACTCGTGGAGAAAGTTAAATTACTTCGAAAGTCGACAAAGATTGTCATAATTTTTACTAAAAGAATAATTGCAATAAAGTAATACGGTTAACTGTTAAAAGAAAATTATAGTTATATAATTATAAATGTTAAAAACTTACAATCTAATTAGTTACGTTTTTTTTTTTATTTTACGGGCCGTTATATGTAAATTCCTCTTAAATTAAGCAACGAAAACCTACTATAATATATTATTTGCCTATATGGCATATATACAAATCTAATATTACAATTCTTTATTTTCAATTTACAATTGTTATGATTCTTTGATTTGGATTTAAAAACTTAATCGTCTTTATTCTTTTTCTTTAAATTTAATATGATTCAGAAATTTTATCATTTATTAAGCATATTATTTTATCTAACATTGTATCGGCTAAACTAAATAAGGAACCTTCCACATTACTATATCGGGAAAGTGTTATAGTGCACCCTCCAAATTTATTTATACAATACAGTACCGCTGAAAAAAGCCAGTAGCAGAAGTAAAAAGCCACAAGTACTTGGCTATGGTCTAACCATAAGTTACCAAAAACCTAAATGATACATGTGTAGGACATAAACTGTCTAGTAGATTTACCACGAGGATAAAGTAATCCTAAAGGGCCTTAGTGGCAATTCCTCTTTAGGGAGAATATTCAATGATGCTGAGTTGATCAGAAGGTTTAATTGGATAACTCAAATAATAGTGTGTTATAGGTACAGCATCTAGTATAAAACCTAGTAATAGGCAAACTAATTAATTGGATCTAAAAAGCACAAATATAGCTAGAATATATCTTTATTAATGTAACAAAGTTAGAAGTAGCCCATGTGGTTGCTCTGATATTTGATCCAAAGTTTAATAAAATGTGACAGATCCCAAAGTTGTTACTTAACATTAAAAAAAATAATAAGTTTATTAATATATCATTGTATTTATTAGTATTTTCTTATTTTAACTATTAAAATTCTTAATAATCATATTATATATTTTATTATTACCTTATTACCTCTTTGTTTTATTAATTATATTGCTTATATCATCTACCTTAGGAACATTAATGTTTGTAAAACACATTATTTATTTTATAAACTATTTAAACTTTTAAATTGATTATCTAATCGATTATTAATAGATAAATACCCTAATCTATAATTAATTACATAATATCATGTAATCAAGTTATTATTATAATCAACTGTATTATTTATCTTAATATCGAATATAAAGAACATATAAGTTTACTATTGAAGCTAAATTTTGCCAATAGTTCTATAAGCTCTTCCAAACAATAGTAACAATAGAATGTAAATAAATAAAGGTTTGATTTTTTAAATATTAAATAATAGCTTTCTAGTACCTCATATTGAGAAGGTTGTGAGATGACACTTATTATGAAGAGGACAGTATTGGAAAAAGAAACATAGCAGTAAATAAAGTGAGTACAAGACAAAGCTGACCACTAAGCAGAATTGAATGTTTAACTATATATATTCATTAACCCCACATCATATAATTATAATAGTTTCATTAATAGTTTCGTTAATTGTCAACAGTTTTGTCAATTGTCAACAGTTTTGTCAATTGTCAACAGTTTTGTCAATTACTAACAGTTTTGCCAATCTTTAGCCATTATGTCATATTGTCAAGTTTTGTCAGATAAAACCATTGACAAAACCATTTCATCAAGACAAAATAGTTTCATCAGGTATCATTAGATGGGCTTGTTATATAGTAGAAAATTTCAGAAGGTAGAATATGCTAGAAACTATTGAAATTTAGCAATTTTGGCACATATTAGCTATAATGCAGGCCTGTGCAGGCTGCATAGCCTGTGCAATATTTTCAAAAAATCTTCAATTTGCCCATCTCTAGTTATATACCCATATAAAACTTCTTGACTCTCACGACTCTGTTTTTTAATTATTAAGAAAATCATTCTGGCAATTATAATTAACAATCATTGCAATATTTTCATAACTTTTATATATAAATCTTAGCAGAGATATTAAAAAGAAGATTGTTTAGATACTTTTCCCATCTGGTATAAAAATAAATACAATTAAATATCAGCAGAGATAGAAATAAGTTCTGTTTAGAGTCCTGCTTGGAGACTTTTCACCCACCTGGTATATATAATTTGCATATTAAACATGTATATCACAACAATAGTGATAACAATAATACTTATCATTTTAATAAATTTGTGCATAGTGTAATAGATAAAATTTTTTTTTGAATGGGTGTAGTGATTTAGTGAAGTTGGTAATTATTATATCCCCAAGTGGCACGACAAGAGTTCAAATCCCACTGGTGCCAAAATTCGAATTTGCAGAAATGCATTATAGTAAAACTGTATGATTTATCGATTCACCAACTTGTATTGGGAGGTTGTAGAAGATAGTATAATCAGTGTTATTAATTTGCTATTTGGCCGGCCAATGGCCGTGGCCAATAGCTATGGCCAAATAGCCAAAATGCATAAAAAATTATTTGGCCAAAATGGCCAAATATTTAAATAGTAAAAACTAGCAATATGATTGGCTAAATTATATATATTAGAAATTTTTGCCGAAGTTTGGCCATTAGCCATTGGCCGTTGGCCAGTTAGCCATTTGGCCGGCCCTCAAAAATTGTTTGGCCGCAAAAATTGACATCACTGAGTATAATATATGAGTTGCATAAACCTGGATAAGTAGCCAAATAAATTCAAGAGATTGGGAGATACAGAAGCCTGCTTGAGAAGTTCCAAGTAGAGAAATAGTACAGATCTTTGATGATGCTATGTAAAGAACTATCATTTGGGGAACAGACACTGAAGGCAAACTAAATGAGGACCGAGTGTTTGGCAAGCACTACACCAACTAGGCTGCAGAATAACTAAAGAAAAAAGGATTTATTTGAAATATTAGGGGACACCTATTTGTTCCTTCTGGACCATCTGGATTGAAAGTTTGGGGCACTAATGGTTGGCATCAAAGTACTGTTGATAGTCTGTAAAGTGGGTGCTGAAGTTTGGATGAACTTTGCAAGAGCAAGGAATAAGTGATGGTAGCAGAGGTAAAATGCTACAAGTACTTGATCATGGCCTAGGCGTAAGTTACTGAAAATCTAGTTGATACATGTGTGAGACATGAACTGCTCTAATAGGTTTATCATGAGGATAAAGGACCTCTCTATATGGTAGTATATGTCTGCTTTAAAGTTCTAAAGGGCTTTCATGGCAGTTCCTCTTTGTAAAGAATATTCTGACAGCACTAAGTTGATCAGAGGGTTTAATTGAGTAACTCAAGTAATAGTGGGTTATAGGTATAGCATTTAGTGTAAAACCTAGTAATAGATAGATATTTAATTAGGTACTCAAAAGGCATGGCTAGAATGTACCCTTGTTAATGTAACAAAGTCAAAAGTAGCCCATGTGGTTGCCATGCATTCGATCCAAAGTTCAATAAAACGTGCCAGACCCCAAAGTGGTTACTTTAACATTTAAAAAAAAAATTCTTTTTGTTTTATTATTTACTTTTATTTATTTTATCTTTTATATATTAGTATAGTTTTTATTTTTATAATCATCATTATATAGTTCTTTTTCAATCCGTTTTCACAGCACTAACCAACTTCTTTTTTTGTATCGTGTAAATATTTTATCAAGCATACTAAAATAGTAGTTAATGGTGGCTTATTCTATACAAGCACATATACGCTCAAAAATCATGTAAATGTGCTTACACAAATTTGTAGATCCCTGCTCCATGAGCGTATATGCTCAATAAAGAGCATATACATTCAAAAAAGAGCATATATGCTCAAAATTGTACGTAAACACTCTAATAAAACAAATGTATATAAGAATTAATAAAGACAAACATGAGACATTCATTCATTACCAAAAAACTGACAAGATAGATCGAGCCTGAAATTCAATAGAGAGTGACAGTTCATGTCCACTTTCAATTCCTAATAAACAATAAAGTGTATATAAAATCTGAATTTGTCCCTTGTGTTTGTCTTTTGAATTCGACTTGCAACTTTAATAAACCCTTTCGAGACTCAATTTGGTGGACTGAATTGACTTATAACTTTGATTTTGATTATTAAGACTCGGATTATAGAACGTTTGTAGAATCAGATATTGCCAATCGCATTAGTGACTTGTGGAAATTGTGGTAGAGAACGGCACTTACGGCTGTTATTTGACTCTGGTAATCCATCGCAGACCTTAAGATCACCACTTTATTATCACCCTTAACAGCATCACCCATTATCATCACTCATTGATATCAAAGTATTACTTTATAGTGCCTAGTTCCTTAACAATTATAAAAGACTCACTTCGCTTCTCCAAGTTT